TATATATATATAGTTTTTAAATTTTAATTAAATTTTTATTTTAATCAAATTGATCTATTTAGTTATCTTATTAGTTAGTCTTATTTGTATTAATTGTTATTATTTTTATTTAAATTTAATTTAATTTATTTTTTTATTTTAATCAAATATATTTATTTATTTAGTTAGTTAGTATTACTGTTTAGTTAGTTCAATCGTATTTATTTTTACATTTTTACACTGCCTTTTTTATTTTTATTTATTACAATAAATAGTAATTTGAATAAAATATATGAAATTTTGTTTATTCATTTATTTTTAACAGATTTATTTAAATCAAATCTTGTTTACTTCAATAATTTTTAAATGCATTTATTTGAATACAATTATTTTATTTATTCTGTTATTTAAATCAAATTGTATTTATTTATTTTAATTAATTAATTTGAATCAAATATTACATTTATTTAATTTAGTTACATTTTATTTATTTATTTTTAACTTTTACTTTATTTAAATAAAACTGTATATTTTAATCCAATTTATTTATTTAGTTAATCTTACTAGTTAATCTTATTTTTATTTTTTACACTGCTTTTCTTATTTTTATTTATTTCAATCATATTAAATTTTTTATCCGAGATATTTTTTATTTAAATCAAATTTTATTTACTTTAATCATGTTTACATATATTTATTTATTTATATTTTAATCCAATTATTTTGTTTATTTATTTAGTTATGTATTTAAATCAAATTGTATTTATTTATTTTAATTAATTAATTTGAATCAAATATTACATTTATTTAATTTAGTTACATTTTATTTATTTATTTTTAACTTTTACTTTATTTAAATAAAACTATATTTTAATCCAATTTATTTATTTAGTTAATCTTACTAGATAATCTTATTTTAATTTTTTACACTGCTTTTCTTATTTTTATTTATTTCAATCATATTAAATTTTTTATCCGAGATATTTTTTATTTAAATCAAATTTTATTTACTTTAATCATGTTTAAATATATTTATTTATTTATATTTTAATCCAATTATTTTGTTTATTTATTTAGTTATGTATTTAAATCAAATTGTATTTATTTATTTTAATTAATTAATTTGAATCAAATATTACATTTATTTAATTTAGTTAAATTTTATTTATTTATTTGTAACTTTTACTTTATTTAAATAAAACTGTATATTTTAATCCAATTTATTTATTTAGTTAATCTTACTAGTTAATCTTATTTTTATTTATTTTTACACTGCTTTTCTTATTTTTATTTATTTAAATCACATTTAATTTTTTATCCGAGATATTTTCTTTATTTAAATCTAATTTTATTTACTTTAATCATGTTTAAATATATTTATTTATTTATATTTTAATCCAATTATTTTGTTTATTTATTTAGTTATGTATTTCAATCAAATTGTATTTATTTTAATCAAATGTATAATTCTAAGATTTATTTTTAAAATCACATTCATTTTATTTAAATCCAATTTTATTCATTTGAATGTTTTTATATATTTTCATTATTTTATTTAAATCAAATGTCTTAATTTATTATTATTTATTTAAATCAACTCAATTAATGAAAGAATTAATTAATTTAGATAACCTCTTTTTTTTTTTTTTTTTTTTCATGGACCCCCCAGCAATCCCTTGCGGACCCCTGGGAGTCCCCGGGCCCCATTTTGAAAAGCCCTGTCTTAGGAGATTTTTTATTACTTTAGTGCCTGACCTCTATATACACACTTGCACGGGCATGTCGCTCACGTGGCTGGGTTTTATTTAGCACATACAGCGCAAATGAGTGATATTTCCTACCACCGTGAGCCCATTCTCTCTTGCATACTCAAACGCACGTTTGGCATTCTGTTGTCAGCTGTCACGGCGGCTCCTGGCACCGCGGAGCGAGCTTGTGCCACTTTGTATTAATTATAGCATAAAACTGGCATTCGGCCCTCTGACTGCCCTCAGCCCTAGAAAACTAACACTAAAAATATGATTTCAGACGCAGTGTCAGAGCCAACAGGTGAAGCTTCATTGCTCTGAGAATAGAGTCGCTTCAGCTGTGTTTGACTCATTAACACACAGCAGGGCCCTTAGAGAAAACAGAGGCTCTCTGTCTCATAAAGTCTCACGTTGTGCTCCGCTCTGCTTAGATGTGGCACATCTCGTCAACAGACCGCATAATGTGAGGTATCATTCATATCGCTAACACAAAGACAGGCTACATGCAGTGACGCTTGTCTTCTCATTTCTGAGCTGCTCTAGTGCTGGCAGTCTAATGATGAGCCATTGTTGGTTTGTGTTGGTCTGGTTAGTCCATCGGGACTGTTAGTTCCAGGACAGCACTACAGATTGCTTAGAGAACAACGATGCTGACATTTACAAGAGAGAACATTATATCAATAATGCTTACTTAATGGCTCTTGAGCATGAAATTGATCAAAATTAAACACTTAAATTAAAATAAATGTAAAATAAATTAAACAATATAGATAAATATATAAACAAACAAATAAATACATACATAAATACATAAAATTAAAGCAAATAAATGTCAAATTTTCCAGTTTGTGTATTTATTTATTTCTCCTGGCTAATATTAGATACAGTTCCTGAATATATTTCATATTTACATATTTAAATATACTATTTAGACTATAATGTAGTTTATACAAACTACTGTTCAAATGTTTCTTGAGCAGCAAATCAGCGTACTGTATTAGAATGATTTCTGAAGGATCATGTGACACTGAAGACTGGAGTAATTTATATATATTTAGATACAAAAAAAAACTATATACATTTAGATGTCATTTATGTGTAATTATGACCAGTTTACGTAAGTAATTTCGAGCAAACACTGATGAACTGTGAAAGCAAACAGTGCTTTCCTATTGACTTGTGTTGTGTATGTGCATCAGGAATCGGCTACGCTTCGATCGTGATCGTGTCTCTGCTGAACATCTACTACATCGTGATCCTGGCGTGGGGTCTGTACTACCTGCTGCAGTGTTTCCAGCACGAGCTGCCCTGGGCCCGCTGCAGACACAGCTGGAACACGGCGAACTGCGTGGAGGACACCGTCCGCAAGAACAAAAGCCTCTGGCTCTCCGCCAACGTCACCAGCCTCACCAACCTCACCTCGCCGGTCACCGAATTCTGGGAGTGAGTATCGAGCGCCGTCCTGAGGCTGTGTGTATGGGACGGACGCTCTGCGCCTATTCTCATCACTCTCATGTCACCTGTAGGAGGAACGTCCTCAGCATCTCTTCGGGGATCGACGAGGTCGGCGGTCTGAAGTGGGAGCTGGCACTGTGCCTGCTGGCCGTCTGGATCATCTGCTTCTTCTGCATCTGGAAAGGAGTCAAATCCACTGGCAAGGTGAGTGAGAGGACGAGAACAGTCCACCATAATGTCACAAAGCAGGCCATTACACTTTTGGAGATGCCTAAGTTTGTTCCCCCACATTTTGAGAAATGGTCATTATGTTTTAAGACTGAAAATTGTAGCCAACCACATAAAATGACTAGTAGAAGTAGAAGCCAAATGAGTGTTGCAAGCAATAACCTTTGCCTTTCAATAAATCAGATAATAATCAGAAATAATTAATATTCATATTCATAAGTCAAGATGGCTCCCCCAATTTTCAATAAGTCCTAATTCCTTGGTTCATCTGAAATCTTAGCAAGTGTTTAATTACAGAAGTAGCAAAGAACCGCAAAATCCGATTCTTTGATTCCTGTTTCCTTGGATCACTCAGATTTAACATGTTAAATGTGTTGAATACTTAGAAACCCAATCTGAAAGCAGTTTTCTTTCCTGTTGTTCCTCTGTTGGCCATTGTAACGGGAAGTAAGCATTTTTAAATGTTTTTGAAATAAGACACTTTTTGGCTGACCAAGGCTGCATTTATTTAGTCGAAAAAATAATATAAAAACAGAAATATTGCAAAATATTATTACAATTCAAAATAACTGTTTTCTATTTGAATATAATATAAAATGTCATTTATTCCTGTGATGCGCAGCTGAATTTCCAGCATCATTACTCCAGTCTTCAGTGTCACATGATCCTTCAGAAATCATTCTGATATGCTGATTTGCTGCTCAATAAACATTTCTTATTATTATTAATCTTGAAAACAGTTATGCTGCTTAATATTTTTGTTTCAAAGATTGAATAAAAAGTTCAAAGGAACAGCATTTGAAATATTAATCTTTACTGCTTGCTGAACAAAAGTATACATTTCTTTTTAAGAAAAAAAAAAAAACGGTTTTACAGAGTCTTTAACAAACCTTTAAAAGGTTTTATAATTAAAAATCCAACCACATCGTGTGAAAAAACACATAAGACATCCCAAGATAACCAAGGCTTTACACAATCAACTGAAATGAAATAGATAGACATACGTTTTGGTGGTACACGTGAAAATGTCTCTAGATTAAGTTTTTTTTTTTTTCTTTCAGTCTAGAAACTGTAGTATTATAATCGCAGACACGCACTGAGCCTCATTCATGAAACACGAGCAGAACCGATTTCGGTGTAAATAATTTGTAAAACCATTCAATTCAATGCAGCGCTTTGCGGGAAAAAACTAAACGATTTTATGAGCGAATTACACAGAAATCCATTCTGCTCGTGTTTCGTGAATAAGACCCAATTAGTGTGCACTTTCACAAGCCTTCCTTTCAGAGTTTGTACGTAGCTCTCTGCGGGTTTCATTTGTGCCTTACGTAGGTGTATAATTATTTTATATTCATTATGGAAATCCACCAACCCTCTGGCCTCCTCTCGGTCTGTCTGTAGGTGGTCTATTTCACAGCGACGTTTCCTTTCCTCATGCTGATTGTGCTGCTGGTTCGCGGTGTGACTCTGCCTGGTGCCGCCGAGGGCATCAAGTTTTACCTTTACCCCAATCTGACCCGCCTAAAAGACCCTGAGGTACTGAAACACACAGAAAGAAATCTTTGTGCAGTGTTGTTTTGCATTTGAAGGAAATGTGATGTAGCAAACTGCAATCTCTGTCTCTGTGGGCTGGTGTAGGTGTGGATTGATGCAGGCACTCAGATCTTTTTCTCATATGCTATTTGTCTTGGTGCGATGACATCACTGGGAAGCTACAACAAGTACAAGTATAACTGTTACAGGTGAGGACTCGTATGTTTTCAATGCATGTTTATAGCTATATGCTGTCTATTTATTCTACAAACATTGTGTGTGTGTTCAGGGACTGCATGCTGCTCGGATGCCTGAACAGCGGTACCAGTTTCGTGTCAGGCTTTGCCATCTTTTCCGTCCTGGGGTTCATGGCACAGGAGCAGGGCGTGGCCATCGCCGATGTGGCCGAGTCAGGTAATGCTCAGGGTCAAAGGTCACCAACCTCCAGTTCTTGGAATGAGAGGGAGAAAGTTAATTTATGATTGTCATTGATCTTGTGTGTTATATGTTATATGAAGCGCTTTCAACAGCATTTGGAGCACCGTGTCAGTTAGCACAGAAAGTAAATGATTCTCTCAGAAAAAAAAAACAACAGCGAACAACGTGCATATCATGTGAAAATCACATTTAATGCATTTCGGTTACCATATGTAAAAAGTCATGAAATTGCTTAAAGTGCACAGACAAGGGTAGTAAGGTATACATATAATTTAGAAATGTGTATTATATATATATAAATATATAAAATAAAAATATATATATATATATATATATATATATTCACTACTAATACACGTGTATATAAATACAAAAATAAAAAATTATAAAATGAATCTAAAATATAAATTATATAAATAAATATATACACACACTTACAATATATATATATAAATTTACAAATATATATACATTGATATATTTATCTTATAATTTTTTATCTATAATATAAATGTATGTTTTTTTTACAGTATACAGTATATAATATTATATATATTTATATAAGAAGTTTTCTTCCCTTTTTTGTGAGAGTCTGCTAGTATGTCATGTGATAGGCTTTTCTTTAGCACACGCCTTTCTTTCTGTGTTTGTCAGGTCCTGGTCTGGCCTTCATTGCGTATCCAAAGGCTGTCACAATGATGCCACTGCCGACGGTCTGGGCCATACTTTTCTTCATAATGCTTCTGCTGCTGGGCCTAGACAGTCAGGTTAGATCGACACACGCAAACACACACCTTCACTTCCCGCTGCAATTAAATTAAAGCCATAGTTCACACAAAAATTAACATTCTGTCATTTACTCCCACTAAATTACTTTATTTCTTCTGCTGAACACAAAAGAAGATACAAGTACAGTTACCATTTGTCAAATCATTATTTGTTGGTTGCTGCTATAGACCACCATGTGCAAACAGTTGTTATTTAAGTGAATTTTGTGATATGATTGATAATGTATGTGATACTGGAAATTAAATTTACTTGATGGGTGATTTAAACATTAAACAGTCAAACTGAAAAAATATCAAGTGATAAGCCAGCCCTATGCTTTGAATTGAACAAAGTAAATGTACAACAAGTGGAACAAAAATTATTAACCATAAATATAGATAAACCATCGGGAATGGATAACTTAGATGGCCGCCTTGTAAAATTAGCAGCCAGCTGTTTGGCGGAACCAGTTTGCCACATCTTTAATATCAGTATTAAAAAAGGCATTTTTCCTTTAGCTCGGAAAGAAGCAAAGGTTATTCCTTTACAGAAAAATGCAGCACTGAGTTTTAATGGTGCTAATAGTCGACCAATAAGTTTACTGCCAGTTCTTAGTAAAGTGTTTGAAACGATAGTCTGTGAACAAGGAGAAAGGAGAATAATTTGTTCTCTGATTTTCAGCATGCATATCGAGTAGGACATTCAATAAGAACAGCATTAACACAGATGACAGATGATTGTTTACTACATACTGATGATAATAATTTAGTAGGAGCAGAGCAGTATTGTTAGATTTTAGCTCTTCTTTTGATGTATTGGATCATAAACTGCTGGAAAAATGTAAATGTTATAAATTTACTTCTCAGACTGTACATTGGTGTAAAAGTTATCTGACTAATAGGAGGCAATGTGTATTTTATAATGGAAGTTATTCGGAAGTGAAAGAGTTGCAATGTGGTGTGCCTCAAGGAAGTTGTTTAGGACCATTGTTATTTTCTATTTTTACCAATGATTTTCCTTTGGTTTTAAAGCGAGCCAGGACAGTTATGTACGCAGATGATACAACATTATATCTACCAGCAACATCAATTGAAAAATTATCTGTTGATTTAGATGAGGAGTTACAATTAGTGGTAAAATGGGTATGGAATAATAAGATGGTTCTAAATTTGACAAAAACCAAAAGTATTTTGTTTGGATCAAATTCTAAACTTAAACTCAATTAAATTTGTCTGTAGAGAGTGTGCCTATTGAACAGGTAGAGGAAATCAGACGTCTTGGAGTTATGCTAGACAGTAGGCTGAAGTGGTCAAAACACATAAAATATGGTAATAGTTATGGGAAGTCTATTAGTTATTAAGAGATGTGCAAAATTTTTACCACAGTATTGCATCTCTCAAATTGTGCAAACAATGGTTCTTACTTATTTAGACTACTGTCCAGTGGTGTGGTCGAGTACATCAAGTAAACGCTTGGAAAAACTACAGTTAGTTCAGAACAGAGCTGCACGAATTACTCTGAACTGTAATAGAAGTTAATATTATGAGAATGCACAACATTCTAGTTTGGCTACTTGTGAAGGATAGGACAATTGTTTCTCTGCTTTGTTTTATAAGAAATATTTCAGTGTCGAGAGTTCCAAGTGTACTGTACTGTCAACTTTTGTATAGTACTGTTAGTCATGATTTTAACAAAAGGCATGCATCAAAAGGATATTTTTTTGCTTCCTGTTTCAAAAACTAATGCAAAGCAACAGACTGTAATGTATAGAGGAATGAAAATATGGAATGATTTGCCATCGGACATTACAGGTTTTTTAATAACTAAAATGAGGTTTAAAAAATCGTTAAAAAATATTTAATGGCACAGTATACAGTAAATTGTTGATTTTGATGTTCTGAATTTTGGGGACTGTAATGTATAGAGGAATGAAAATATGGAATTATTTGCCATCGGACATTACAGGTTTTTTAATAACTAAAATGAGGTTTAAAAAATCGTTAAAAAAATATTTAATGGCACAGTATACAGTAAATTGTTGATTTTGATGTTCTGAATGTTGGGTTTTTATGTTTTATTGTATTGGGTTTTATTGTTATGGATTAACGTAATTTTGTTTTTTACTTGTTGGACCCCAGGAAGAATAGCCACTACCTTGGTAGTGGCTAATGAGGATCCAAATAAACAAATAAAATAAGTCATTTTTGGGTGAACTTACCACTGAAACATAATTGGAAACTCCATTAAAGGGGTCATATGATGCTTTTTTAAAGATCATTATTTTGTGTATTTGGTGTAACAGAATATGTTGACATGCTTTAATGTTCAAAAAACACATTATTTTTCAAATAGCATCATATGACCCCTTTAAGTCTCTGAGTAATAAAAATGTCCTCTGGGTGGTGTGACATATGAGTGTCCTGGTGTTGGAATGAAAGACTGCAAACATTGAGATGGTTAAGCCAGCAGATCATAACTTTACAGCATAGCGTTGAGTCCTGATGTGAAACATCATCTCTCTGTGGCTGTGCGCTAGCGTCGAGGAATTACGCCGCTATATTTTGGGCTTCCTCCCACAAACACACCCTCACACTCACATATCACGAGATGCTGAAGGTATTCCAGTCTCATATGACTTGCTGAAAAGCTAACGTGCGGTGGATCACATTTCCTTTTGCGTATGTTTGTGTGTGTGTGTGTGTGTGTGTATGAAATTACACCTACATCACACACACACCCAAGCAAAGACACTGAGAGCCACAACAGTGTGGACATAAATAAGGGTGCCATTATTATGAATGTCATTCACTCTGCAGAAGGCAAAGAAAAGATGTCAAAAAAGATTTATTATGCCTTAGACTGTGCTGAAGCACGCATGTTTTGATTTTCCACAGTTAAGGGTCAAATGTCACCATTGTTTGTTCATTAGGACACTTTATTTCAGATAACTTCCAGAGGCTTGTCCAATTAAAGCAGTGTTTTTTTGTTTAATCATGGATAATCATCAAGGTTTTTTTTTTTTTTTCGGTTCTTAAGTTATACATAATTTTACATATTAACCTGAAAAAGATCATAATAAGTGTCACTTACACACTCAATTTAAGCTATACTAAAAGATACAAAAACAAAACAGTTGCTTAAAGGAATAGTTCACCCAAAAATGAAAATGTGCTGAAAATTGACTCACCAATAGATCCTGTACAGTGAATGGGTGCCGTCAAAATGAGAGTCCAAACAGCTGATAAAAACATCAGAATAATCCACAAGTAATCCACATCACTCCAGTCCAACAATTAACATCTTGTTAAGCCAAAAGCTGCACGTTTGTAAGAAACAAATCCATCATAAAAACATTTTTAACTTCAAACCATTGCTTCTAGCTAAAAAATACAAGTCCATAATCCATAATAACACTTCCGCCAGTGAAAAAGTCCATCCCGCGTTGTCCGTTCACAAAACCTTGTGAATATGCCGCTAACAATGCAATTCAGTATCCTAAAGTCACTAAAACAGAAAATCACTAACAGTCTCTAAGCATGATAAAATGACAACACAGTCACTTCTAACAGTGACTAGTACTGCAGAGCTCAGGTTTGAGCATGGCTGGGTTTAACATTTTTTGTTTAATGTTCATGCATTTTAAAGTTTGTGCTGTTACTGTTTGACATATTTTTGTCATATATCAACTAAAATGTTATTTTTGTCGACTAAAATTATATGCCATTTCAGTCAGAGTACTGAACTGACTGAAATGAATGAATGTGACATTTAAAGTATTTTCGTCAAAATGCAAAAACTATGACTGAAACTAACAATGCTGTACTGATGGTCACTAGTAGGCATCTGTACTGGTCTGCAGTATCCAGTGTATCACATGACCTCTGCTTCACAAACATTGGTATTGTCCAAATCACATCACTTCTCATTTACATAAAGTTAAATGGTTGCATTGTTCTGTAAATCACTCAGTGTGAACACGTCTTTATAACTGTATTGTCTTTAACCAGGCACAACATGATATAGCAATATATGACAAAAGCTCCCTATTCCATGTTCATTTGTTTTTTCATAGAATATATAGAATAGATTTTTAAATGAGGTTTTATTGTATCCAAACAAACACAACAAGTGACCAGTGACAGGTCATTACAGCTGCTTATATATTTTTTCAGGAAGCATTTTCAATTTCAGTGTCACGCTGGTTTGTACACAGTTTAAGTCCTTACCAGTGTTATGATCTAATACTAAAACAATTCAGTCATTTTCATTCATTGAATTAAAGCTGAAATTAAACAAAATAAAATAAACAGTGGATGAAAAACAAAAAAAAATTGAAATAAAATGACTAAAAATGAAATATAAATACATTTCAGCTAAATAGAAATATTTTTTAAAAAGTACTAAAATTAACAAAAGCACATAAAATTACTAAAATTAAAATGACAACTGAAAATGTAAGAAATAAGTAAACTAACTGAAATAGATAAGCTGAATGGAAATATAAAAAAACAAACAGTACTAAAAAATGACAAATGCACTAAAACTAAAATGAAAACTGAAAATATAAAAATATGTAAACTAACTGAAATAAGTATGTTTAAGTACTAAAATGACAAAAGCTTAGACATAAATAAAGGCTAAAAAAAGAAAAACAAATAAAAACTAGCAAAGCACTTGAACTAAAATTAAAATGTTACAAATCAAGCGTAGCATTAGTTCTGGCAGGTCACGTTAGTCAAGCTCTCAGCTGATCCCCATCTACCTATAGGAATACGACACCTATCTAAGCATTCATATATAAGGTCCCTCAGTGTTATCAGCAGTTTTCACATTGCTCAATAGCTAATTACCCTCCTCCATCCCCAACTCCTCCTCTGTCAGTCAGGATTCAGCCTTCTGATTCTCCTTTGAATAAGACTAATTCTAAAATGTGTACATAAAATTATTGAACTTTAACAACATCTGCAATACATTTATGTTGGTTCTGTTTACCCCTGGGGGGGTTATCGCTGCTCTCCCTGCTCTCATCCATGCTAGGCTGCATGGAGGCGCAGGGAGTTCTTGCCCAGAACAGAACCATACCGCCAGTCCAAACTGTATGTTAATTGTCAATCATCTTTGACGATCAGTTTTCTCCCATCAGTTTGTAGAAGTGGAGGGTCAGATCACCTCTCTGGTGGACCTGTACCCATCCCTCCTAAGGAAGGGATACCGGAGAGAAATCTTCATCGCTGTGATCTGCGTCATCAGTTACCTGCTGGGACTCACCATGGTCACTAAAGTAAGAGAGAGCGAGACGGAGGAGTGTGTTTTGTGTTGATTGAATGCTGAATGTGCGTCTGTCTCTCTCAGGGTGGCATGTACGTCTTCCAGCTGTTTGACTACTACGCCGCCAGCGGTGTGTGCCTTCTCTGGGTTGCATTCTTTGAATGTGTTGCAGTAGCCTGGGTTTACGGTAAGTACACACTAGTGCTCGACTAGATGGGGTTTCAATATTAGCTTATGATTTTTATTTCATTTCATTTTATTTTGCACTTTTTCTTAAATTTTCACTTAATTTTTTTAGGTAAAAGGCTAATTTAGAATTTTCTACTTTACCTATAAAATCAGGAAATTTCTACTTTATTGACAACAAAAGAAATCAATCATTTTAATTAATTTTGTATTATATAAATATCTATTTTATAGAAGAGTCGTTCTAGTTTTAAAGAATATTTTATAATAACTAAAGGATATTTTACAATAACTTTTTATTTGAATTTAATTTACATTTTTCTTAATTATGTAAGAAAAAACGTTCATGACTATAATATATTCCTAATATATATATATACACTAGTGCTCGACTAGATGGGGTTTCAATAAAAGAGGCAAAAAATGAAATGGTGACCGGTTGCAGGGTTTTGAAAATTCCCTTATATACACCACCATTCAAAAGTTTGGGGACAATGCAATTTGTTTTTTTTAAAGAAATTAATCATTTTATTCAGCAAGGATGCTATAAATTGATCAAAAATGACAATAAAGACATTTATAATATTACAAAAGATTTCTTTTTCAAATAAATGGTCTTTGTGGTTACTAGTCAGAATGAATTCCTAATTTTAAAATATATTAAAACTGATTTTTTTATTATAATAATATTTCTCAATATTATTGTTTTAACTGTATGTTTGATCAAATAATGCAGTCTTGATGAGTATAAGTGACTTTCAAAAACATTTAAAAAATCTTACTGACCCCAATTTTTTGAATGCTGGTCATCATGTTGATACATAAAAGAGCTTATGGCTGTTATGCATCACATACCCAGATACACAAATCATCATTCAAATCACCAAGGTTTCAAGGTATTTGTAGCCTTAAAGAGTCATGTAATAAAACATTGTAAACAATCATAAACACACACTATATGCACAATTATTAAACAGGTGTCTCTCCAAAAACAGATGCTGCGGTCACTTGTATTTACAGCATAAACCCTGAGCTCATCTTATGATCTTTGCATTAAGCTCATTAATGTTGCTCAATCAGCAGTCTAACAATGTTTGTTGAGATTAATCTTATATAATCACATCAGTCCTCTGGGCTTATTTCACATCTCTATTTTTCACCCATGACTGGCCCCACATGAAATCGGCATAATAAAGACCACAGCACAAATCTTGACTGCATGTGTGTGTTTGCAGGGGCTGATAATTTCTACGATGCTATAGAGGACATGATCGGCTACAGACCCAACAGCTGGATGAAATGGAGCTGGATGCTGATCACTCCCGTCCTTTGTGTGGTAAGTGTGAGAAGGAATGCAATTTTTGCTTGAGAAATATGGCCAACAGCAATGGTTTTTGAGTCTTCTCATTTTTCCATTTCAGGGTTGTTTTGTATTTTCATTGGTGAAATACAAGCCGCTCACCTATAACAAGTTTTACGAGTATCCTGATTGGTCCATTGGATTGGGTTGGGCTCTTGCGCTGACTTCTATGATTTGCATCCCGATGATGGTCGTCATCAAAATCATCCAATCAGACGGCTCCTTGATAGAGGTGAGAAAGTCATGAGCTGCATATAAAACACGTCAAACATACACATCTATCGGCATTTTGATCATATTGTTATTAGAAAATTACAATATATCTGTGACATTAGGATGATTCTCAAGTTATGCCGAGTTCACACTGCACGATTTTAGCCCGATTTTTCACTTGCCAACAAATGCCCGACATCGGAGGCAAATCGGTGCTTGTTCACGCGATTCACAATCACGCTGTGTGAAATGAGTTCTGACTGAAAAACACATCAGCGATGACCTACAGCCAATGAGAGACCAAGATACAGGGCAGCGGGAAGTTCGGGGAGGAGTTATATGAAACATAGTTTGCGGACCAGTGTTGCCAAATCTGCGATTGCCGCCGGTTGTGTTTTATATCAGCAGGTTGAAGTGACCCCAATAACGTGATATTTAGGCCCTGGAATGTGAATTGTACCAGGAGAACCCCACCAAAAAATTTTAGTATTTTACCCCCCGAATGCGATTTTTACTGGGGGACCCCCTCGAAAGCAATTGGGCTATTATCAGGCTAGTTTTGAGTAGTAATTGGGCGGGTCTTGTAGCGAAAACCTGGCAACCCTGCACCAGACAGAGCTGTCGGCGATTCTTTCTATTGTAATTTGAAAATCGTGCAGTGTGAACTCGGCATAAGGGCAAAACCTTTGTCTCCTAGGATGATTAAAAAAAAAGATATATAAAAGTATATATAATATTTGATATATAAAAGGTATATGTAAAAATTTAATTTATAAAAAAAATAGTAATTCTACATTTAAAGTATATTATAATAGCTTAAGGGTTTTATTTAAATTACATTTTTTATTTAAATGTATTTTTAATTTTATTGAACTTTTTCTTAAACTTTCTTTAAGAAAACAGTTCATTCTGACTTTTGTATTGTTCACGGAGAAACAACCATTCTAGTTTTAAAGGATATATTATATTAAGCAATTCTATATTTATAGATAATATTTACGTTACATTATATATATTTTATTAAATATTCTTTAATTTTCTCTTAATTTTTTTAAGAAAAAAAAAACTAATTCTGAATTTTCTACTTCACCTATATAATAAATGTTTAAAAAAAATTAAATCAGGGAATTTCTGAAATCTACTTTTTAATCATTTTTTAATTACGTTGGTATAATAATAAATAGATAATTTCTAGAGTCATTCTAGTTTAAAATGATCTATTATAATAACTTATGGCTTTTTATTTTAATTTACTTTCTTTTTTATTTTAATTTTATTAAACGTTTTATACAATTTTCAAAACTTTTAAGAAAAAGTAAATGTAATTCAGATTAAAAAAAAAACAAAAAAAACAATAAACAGTTAAATCTGTGAATATAGTTTCATTAAGTTAGTATTGTAAACGTAGATACTGGTTTTCCAAACAAACAAATAAATAATTTTTAAAAAATCCTAAAAATATTTTTGATTTTCGATTCAATTTGAATGCTGTTCAGTTCTGGGCCATTATCAGCTATTATCTAAATAGCTACTGTCTGTCACTGCATTTATACATTTGAATATGTCCTCAAATCAAATAATGCGTTGTGTTCAGCGGATCAAAGCTGTGGCTGCACCAGTTAAAGGAGGTGCGAGCTCTCGCCCAAAGGAGTACAGCCTGAAGAACAGTGAGCTGCTTCACCCGCTGGACCCCAACGGCATCCACGTCTTCACCAAACACAGCCACACCATCGTAGAAACTACTATGTGAGGCTCTCTAAGAGAGATTCCCGTATTCTCCAGCTCCTGTCCTCTCCTATGGGAGATCCCGTTTTTTCCTGTTGTCCCGCTCCCTTCCCCTCCATTCCTCTCTCTCGCTCTGCACTAGTGCGTTTTTATGAAATGATCTTATATCGATATATCTTTTTTGCCATGTAGGATTTGTATTCTGATTGTAATCAATGGTATTAGCATTAATGCTGATATTGTAATAACCTGATGTGAGCTTTAGCCGTCTGGGGTGGTTTGTTTAATCTGTAGTGCACGGTTTCACATTAAACCACATCCTAACCAGGAACAACACAGGATTTACTGCTCATTGCATTACGATTTCTTTCATATCAATCAGAGTTTTGATCCTAAACAACCACAATGAGACATTTTGCTTTCTATTTTGGTCCTGTCACTCTGAATAGCCCCGCCCACAGTAATATTTTTTTATTGAATTTTTTTTTTAATTTGAATCATCTTAAAATGTAATTCAAATTAAAATAAGAGAACATTTATTTTATTTTTTATATTGTTTTTAAGTGAATTCAGACTTTTCTATGGAAGCCCGTTTCCGCCACTGAATAAAAAATAAAAAATAAAAAAAAGGTTATTGCGACTTTTTCTCACAATTCTGACTTTTTTTCTCGCAATTGCGAGTTTATATCTCTCAATTCTAGGGTTGGGTATCGTTTGAATTTTATCGATTCCGATTCTTATCGATTCCTAGTTTCGATTCCAATAAGATAAAAAATCCAATATAAAAAAAAATTAAGTCAAACATTTCTGTCTTTTTACAAAGCATTATGTTGCAGCTGAATAACATGAGCAAAAATCAGCAGCCTACATAACATTAATCACATTAAAATGCGAACGCAGGAAGCGTTAAGCAGAATCGAAATGCACGCGTCTTATCGAATACCCGGTTCTTGGAAATTTGGAACCGGTTCTAGATACCCAACCCTACTCAATTCTGACTTAATAACACGCAATTGCGAGTTAAAGTCCAATTTTGAGGGGGTGGGGGGGTCCGTTTCCGCCACTGAATAAAAAATAAAAACAAAAGTCGTAATTACCTTTTTTATTTTTTATTCAGTGGCGGAAACGGGCTTCCATACTTTTCTACTATTTAAAAATACTTAAAATCAGGAAATTTCTACTTTCTTTAATAATAGGTAACATTTAATTAATTCAGATTTTAATTAATTTGATATGGTGTATATATAGATACCCTTTTTGTAAAAAAAAAAAAAAAAGAATAAATTATAGTTTTAGATTAATTGTGAATGCTGTTCACACTAAATCTAAAACAACATTTTAAAATAGGTTTATAATATTATCAAAAATTTCAGTTCTGGGCCATACTAAAAATAAATATTGGCTATCATAATAAATTCTACATCACTGCTTTATTTTTATAGTATTCTTGAATACCACTTCACTCACTCAAATAAATGAATGCAATGACACAACGAAATCTGATTGGTCCAAAATCCTGCTCCACATAGATTTATCATCGATTACATTCTGATTTAATGGCTTTGCATGGCATTTGACTTTCTGTGAGGACTTTTACTGTGTCGCACCTGGTTAGGACGCAATTCATCAGCAGAGAGAGCGAGTTTTAGCTTCATTTTTAGAAAAAGACTTACTGTAAAACAGCAACGAACTAAATGTGACATAAGCTACATTATGGCGTCCGTCAGTGGTTGTGGAAGTAACTCTTGTTTCGATGAGGTTCTTAAATGTTCTTTGTCTTGAAGAAAAATGAATGTACCTCCGCTTTGAGCGGACGCTGTGCACAGACATGCACAAACACGTAAGACATAAGCGAACCTTAACACTCTGTCCTTTCGTCTCTCCTTGAACCATAGTGATCACTGCCATCACACACACCGAGCCACTGAGTTCCTCTAACACTGTAGGCAGCTGTGTTCACTAATATAAAGTATCACTTGATGCACTATTATAAGCGTCATTTACTGTAAGATGATCCGAGAGCTGATGATTATCAACACCACGCAGGGTGTTTAGCAGCACTTTATTAGCCGTTCATGTACAGCGGGGTCTGAAAGGTCTGAGAATGCTTATATATAGATGTTTTTTTTTCAAGAAAATAAATGTATCAATCATATTGTGATTCGTTTGGTATTGTATACATTTTTTGAAAGACTACTATATATATATATATATATATATATAGTAGTCTTTAAAAATGCATATATATTGTGTATATTAATTTTTTGCAGTTTTCATTATGAATTATACTATCAGCTTAAAAATTTGAGGAAAAAGCTGACATGAACAAAACCTGGTGAGCAACTTGTGCTTCGATGGACCGTCTGTACAAAGAGTCATATGATCAATGCTACTAATTCACTTCAATTAGTGACCTAGAAATGTATTTGTTTGTTTGTCAAAATTCGATTTTGATTCCCAGGCATTTCAGACGTTTGGAGGCCGCTGTATATCACATGATTCAGCACAGCCAAACTCGCTCACAATCATCAAACCTTCAGCTTTCAGAACGAACGCAGGAAACCTGGGCTTTATGTCCTTGCACAGAGACACTGCCATTCCCCTCTCTGGCCTAAGAATGAGATTGTCTCTTTAGCCTTAAAACCTCCAAATATTCAAGCTAAATCACCAACAGCAAAGAACTGCCCCTCCTAATACCTCTGTGTCCTTTACCTTCGACCACCCACCCTCCCCTGTGACCCCAGCGTCTTTGTACACATCAGCTCATCCGACCTGACCTATGACCCCTGAACCCTTCTAGATTTAGCTGGACCCTCTCACCTATTTCCACCAATCTTGAGCTAACTGTTCACTAAGTGTGTGTTTGCTCATTTGTAGTATTTTAATTTATCTAAAATTTATCTAAAAAACATTTTATACTGTACCTGATGTGATTGGTCAGTTGCCTATATTTTTTCTGAATGTATTCAGACATTTATATTTAAACGTTGATTAGTCGTCAGCCTAAATGCAACTTGTAGTGTGCAATATTTGTAAACAACTGGCTTTGTCCATTTTTTATTCTAAGTTCAGCTGGAAAGTACTGTATTATGATGAAAACACGAAATTCAATAAATTTTTTCATTCACATTTTTGCTGTATTGTAAGGTAACTTGATTAAACAAAAACAAACAAAAAATCTTGTAAAACCAAAGTAGTTTTGTGACAGAGACCATTCTAGATGCATATTGCATCTTTCAAACTAAATAAAAATGTCCAATCTTGGTATGTGTTGTGTCAAGTCTGTTAAAAAATGTCTATACCTGCTTTTTGATGTTCTGTACCAGAATGCACCACGATGAGGAGGTTAAGGGTCAAGAAACACTTCTTTTTCACATCTGTCAAAGAATAACTTGCGATATCAGCTGAAGTGGTTGATAATTCAAGTGTGACAGTGTGTGGAAACAAGTGACATCAATAGCAAACTATGACAGTGAAACTTGGTCTTAAAGGGATAGTTTAAAATGTGATGTTTATCTGCTTACCCCCAGGGCATCCAAGATGTAGGTGACTTTGTTTCTTCAGTAGAACACAAACGAAGGTTTTTAACTCAAACCGTTGCAGTCTGTCAGTCTTATAATGGATCAAATGGACCATTGACACTCTATGGCCCTATTCTAAATGGAACACTTCATGTGCACTTGCGGCCTTATGGACTTACAATGGCCGCCGCGTGCACGTGTCCGTTAAGTCCACGAGACCGTAGGGTGTCCCATTCGTCATTTTAGCAACAATTAGGAGTGTCAATGGTCCATTTGAGAGATAGGTGGCGGTAATTCACTTATAAGTCTGCGATCCGCCGTAAAGCAAGAAGACGACGCAAACACGCTCAGGACAGTTCGGACATTGCAGTAAATCAGAGGTAAAAAACGATATAAATACTGTTCAGTTTCTTGCACAGACTGATCGTTTTGTGTCTTTACACATCAATGTATCGTCACGAGCCGCAGGGTTTAATTTGGTTTTGTTTGTGTATGTTTTTAGACTCTCAAAGCCGTGATTCCCGTTCACTTCCATTATAAGACTGACAGACTACAACGGTTTGAGTTAAAAATCTTCGTTTGTGTTCTACTGAAGAAACAAAGTCACCTAGATCTTGGATGCCCTGGGGGTAAGCAGATAAACATCAAATTTTCATTTTTGGGTGAACTATCCCTTTAAAAATGCTCGTAATTTATTCTTTTACAGCTGATTTAGCACATAAACAGACATTTAGAACCTAAACATGACAGTTGCAACTACCTAAATTTGTAATGACTCAATCAGTTTGAGATCTCGTTATTTGATTGAAGGTTCATTCCGACTGGATCACTGAATCGGCGAGTTCTAGAGTAGGTCGAGAAATGCAGGACCAAGGAATTCTTCAGTGAATAATTTGTGAACCAAATCAAGAGGTTTCGAACATACTTCTTTCTCCTACTATACAGTAGGCAAGTAGGCGTATTCAAACGCAAATTAAGTATACGTACATCCGAATCTCGCGAGAATTAGTGCACCAGCCAGGTACTTCTCGCCCTGCTCTTTTATGAATACTGAGGATTCAAACATACTTATTTGCTCACCTACTGCATTTTGCCTACTATATAGTATGGAAGTATGCGGTTTCGAACACAGCCATAGTCAATCAATCCAAGGAAAACATCTGTAAAACAGAAAGAAAAGTCACTTACAAAATAAAAAATCTGACCAAAATTTCTCTTGCCATTACAAGTGAATGACTCTTCCTCAGAACAGTGACAAAAACATCAACTCACTTCAATGTCTGACTTGTATTACATTTATGTCCATTTGGATTAACTCATTAATCTGTTGCTTGCCGTCTTCATATGTAAAGAGAGAACCATAGTTTCCAAAGTCGGACATCACTTAAGACGTGACATGTCCCAACCAATATCCAGCGACTAATAAATTGTCCCTAGCAATAATTTTGATCAAACAATTGGATAAAAGCATCTGCAAAATTACTAAATGTAAACAATTAAACGCCTGTTGTTTGCCGTTATGTCCCCACCAATGCCAAAATCAAACCTACACCCTTGCAAATAATTATTTAAAATTATGTAATTGACCTGCAGCCAGTAGGCCCCTGGGCTTCAGCCCATGCGTTAATGTGCCCCTGCCTGCCGGATCACTCTGATTCAGTGAGCTGTAGCTTGATCAGATCAGTCCAATTCACGAATGAATCATTCAAAAGATCAATCCATGTAATTTGTGAACAAGTTCAACAGGTTCATTAAAAAGAATAGACTCTTTAAAAAAATCTGAGCTTAGTTAACTCTACCCACTTTTAATGGCAAAATTAAACTAATACATGTCAATTATTTGTCTTTGTTTGAAGTAAATATCAAAAGACACTGCCTCTTATTCCACATCAGAATGAAGCAATTGTCCCTCCATCAGCCCACAATCCTACGCATTTAATATTAAATCCCCAGCACATGCATTAGGCTTC